AATTTGTTAATTTTAAATTACAGATAAAGAAACTTGATGCATCGTTGAGTGTGTTGGTCGAACATGGATGGATCTGCGAGAAAATCTGCTTCCAGGAATATCTTCACGGATATTCACGTTCAGCCAGGTGTACACTAAAATGATCTCTGAGTTATCCTTGTCTATAGACTAAGGACCACTTATTTACACGAGGTCTAACCCAGATCACGGTTTTACACAATCAGTGGGCATCAGGTTTTGTCTATAAGAGGGTTGATTTACTTCAATAAATGAATGCTCTGATAAAAAAGTTAACGATCGCTTAGGACCCGGTTTTGTCAGACTACGGCTAAACTTTGTTTAAATAATGACCTAGATGTTTACACTTTTAAGCCTCTGAGAATTCGTATTAACTCACTCTCATTCCGTCTTTCACTAGATGCTTAAAAATCAACTTAACCTAAAATTTCAAATGCGAATTGCTTTTTTATCATGCTAACTAGATGCTGGTCTCTATTACAACAAGGTCACCTTCAGCCTCACTCCAAATCAAAGGCTTGGCAACTAAGTACATAACTGTAAAATGGCTATTGCACTAAATGTGGCCAGTTTGCAAAGCGTGGCAGGCCCTTGAACATGTGAACCCTTAATGGGGGCAATTCGGACGTGGTAACCGAGCAGATAAAGTGCTATTTTCTTCGTATTAATTGGAATGTGATAACCTCAGAACTTTTTCACAAAGAAGAAGTTTTTCGTCAACTTTTAGTCCAGGTTGGGAAAGTATCGAAGTGAAGATGATTTATCAAGCGAGCACTCGGCTGTGGACGTAATAACTGATAGAGAATAGAAGTTTTAACATGTATTTGAAAGAGTTATTCCCTATGAATAAGGTATTGGAGCTTCGAACTGAACTAAGGGATCTGCACTTTTCCCCTCGAATGCAAAGACGGACAAACGATAGACAAAGCTGGACAAAACTCTTAGCATCAGATCTACTTTATGAAAGGAAACCCTATCTCGCGTATTACCATCGTGATACCGTCTTTTGCATCTTTCATATCATCCTCTAAACAAAGAAAGTCAATTTTCTTATCTGCTGTTTCTTGGGGAGACGTTTCTGAAATCTCAAACAACGGCTGGCAAGGAGAGGAATGTACTTGCAGATCTGATCTGGCGCTAAGATTGCAGTTTACATACAGTTCTTTGACTTTTGTTACAGGTATTCGTGTCTTATTGACTGGTGTGCAGAGAGCTTCAGTTATAAAGGCGTTATCGGATATTTATCGAGCCTTATTTGGAACCAACCTCAGCGCGCAGTGTTCTTCGCCTACTTCCCTCATGAAGAACGCCCTGATTCTCGAGACATCTTGTACCTAATTTGCTGCCCGTCTCAACTTAAAGAAAAGGTGCGGGCTGAAATTACGAATCAGGCTAATGCGCCTACTTCAAGTGATTCAGACTCCCACATCATGATGATTCCTGGGCGTGATAAGGCATACGTCTCCCTTATTGGAGGGTTCAGAGCGATTGAGGAAGATGACATGGATGAATTTTATCTCCAGTAAGTTTTAGGATACGCTTCACGGAGAAAAACCCTCGGTATGCTACTAACCTGAAGTTTTAAACCAGTAGGTTTTCTTTAAATAATGCCAAGAGGGCCGGAAACGTAGGGGATTTTGTTTAATCGAATTCAAAATAACAATTAGTAGAGAATTAAAGTAGAGTTATTATTGACAGTATTTAACTCAAACTTTTACTTCATAAATTTAGTTTTTTTCTGATATAAATTACAGGTGCTATAGAGCCTAGAGGAATAATTAAATTATAATGCAGATTATCGCTATACATTGGCTCCCCGTTCCCCGTTTCCAGTTCCTCGTTCAACATTTTGGTAGAAAAACGATTAAGATTCTTGCTGATAAATACTTCCTTTTCGTGCTGATAAGAATATTTTTAACAGGTTTATAAGTGATGACCGCCATAAAATTCAAGTTCCAATCCATTTCATTGATGACAAAGGACCTCCAGGGGTGAAGTTTTACAAAACATCGAAGTTTGAAAAAGGCATTCTGCTATGTGGATTGTATTTTCGAGTATCGCCTCTCAAGAGAAAGCTGAAGGTAAGAGGTTTTCTTGTAACTTCCTTGGTACACTTTGTCACTGCCTTTTCGATCACTGTATGAGTTTTGAACGTGTTCTTCATATAATTCATTTTTGTTTAACGATATTAAAGATGACATGAACAAAATTCCGATGAATAGTACGATAGAGTGTATATCCAAAGCTAACATTTTTCAGGAGACAGTTCTGCGTGTTGATGAAATAGAAGAGAAGAATGAAAAAAAGATAAAAGGAAAGGAAATGCAATACGATCACGTAACATTTCAAATGGATTTTATCATACATGCATGTAAAATACAAGGCGGAATTCGTAGAAAATAAACACATCCGTCCTGAGAATTAAACGTACATTTTTATAAAGCCAAATAGCAACATGTAACCCCTTATGTATTTGTAGAAAACCCCAGTGGAGTTTTTTGACATTCCTGTCAATGATGAAATTTTGTCAAATCCGCGTCCAGAGCATGTTCTGGGGATTGGAAAACAATTCGTTGGTTCAGAGGTGTATGACGATCTCCTTTCCCGCTTCAGCAAAGGCAATATGAATCAGAAGCAGACAATACAAAGCTTCTATGAGGCTCTTGAAGGATTGAAAATCGAGATCCAAGATAAGTGCTTTGAAGCCCTTGTCGAGGAACTAAGCGACATTAATGTATACGGATTTGTGGTAGATCGACTTAAGGAAGGTAACGATATTAAAAGTTCAAGCAGTTTGCATTTGAGTGTAAAAAGTAATCCAAGAATAGTGTGGTTTTGTTTTACTTCTCTTTGTAATTGATTCATGAAACTAGTACCACTTTTTCTTATTCAACCGACCATATTTAAAATTAAGACCAATCGCGTTTCTCCGCGCTATGAGCGGTTTGCTTGTTCTAACCGTAATAAGCTTCTAGTAATATTTTTCTCTGATCGACGGTTGTGAATTAGCACTCAATCAAATGACGACACTCAATCAAATTTAGCTCCAAAGGATAATAAGTTCACCTGTTCACAACGCTTGACACATCACCTTTACTCTTAGAAGTTATTAACGCCTGTATTTTCCTCACTGTGTTCATACATTGTCTGGAGTACAGGTGAAGAGAATTGACGAGCTCATCACAAGTAATTTTGTTTCATATGTTTCTGGAAGTAGATATCTCGGGAGATATAATTATAAGGTTTAATTTACTATGACTGTTGCTGCAATATCTTGATGTCACGTATCCTGCGGTTAGTCATTCTTGTAAATGGGAGCACAAGGTTCTTCATTCAACGAAATGTTTCGCGCACTTGTCCTGTTCTTACAGGAGGGATGAGTCCCGACCTATTCCTAGGAAGGTTTATCTTGCCATGGTCTCCCTTGGTACCTTGCAGTCATGTCTAAGTTTATTAGAGTCGAGATCGCCGAGGGGCTAAGTTTGGTTGATTTGCTCTCACAGAGGCGTTTGTGATACAAGAAGTTAGTCAGTTGGTGGTGTGTTTCTAGTAATAAAGGCAGCATGCACGCAGTCCATTTGGAACTTCTTATTATATATGTGAAGAAAATTGTATCAGAAAAAGCGGAGTATCATTGGGAAGACCTGGCAAGAGAGCTGGGGCTTGAAGATGGAAAAATTGATAAGTGTGGAGAATGCTGTTATCAAGTCCTACAAAAATGGTGTGAAGAGAATGGCGAATGAGCCACGATCAGAAGAGTCATGGTGGTAATGACTAGAATAGGATTAGCGGACATCAACAACGACATTGTAGATTGTCTTAATTTGAGACGTTTGGATCAAATGGAGTTGGACTCAGTAAACTGATAAAATCGGAGGAACTTAGCATGCAACTGGACTTCATTCAGTGCACAATGTACCTTGTTGCACATGCAACGAAACGAGCGATCGCGTGATGCCAAACACGTCACGGTCAGAAAAACCTTCATGGGAACACCCTCACGGACAATAACAAATTTGCATGATTTGACCATGTAACTTTGTTATACACACACATACGCGCGCATGTGGCTTTGGACCAAGATGGATTGCAAAAATTAAAAAAGCTTTGTAAACTTGGTAAAATTTTGAACTCTTTAAATGTAAGTTTGAGATCCCTGGACGGTTTTAAGTCTGGTAGTTTAGTTCAAAAGATTCTTACGCTGAAGGGAGAGACCGCAACTCACCTCCTTGCTTTTATCCTTGGGGGAAGGTTTACGGACTTACACGACAGCATAGCTGCTCGACACCATAACAAAGTGCTTACGGCCTTCTTCAAAGGAAGGCACAGTAGGCACAAAAATAAACGATGTTTTGGAGATAGAATCTTCTAGATCTTCATTTTCTTTAATTTCGTAACTTTAGACACGAGCAAATTAATTATCGTTGCCCATGAACCTAAAGGAAAAGTTGCAACATATATCTTTTGACTGCTAGATCGAGATCACAGAATGAGTCATAGGAGAGGGGGAGGGGTGGGGCGTGACAGCAAAGAGGGAGGGAGGGGGGCGTAGAAAAGACTAAGTTCTGATCTTTGACGGAGAGGGCAATATGTAAGTATTCCTTCTGGGAAGGCACGAAAAAGAAAAAAAAAACAATCTTAATTGAACTGAAGAAGTGGCCTTAGCTTATTTTGGGAACTGTTTCAGGAAGGGTAAAGTTTAACCCTAACGTGGATCACAAGCTTTTTAATTACTTTTAAAGTTGGTGACTGTATTTAGGCTTTTTTATTTTTGTTGTTGTTTTTTTTTTTGCAGGGCCCTTATTGATATTAGCATTTTATGCCGAACAGGTCACCCTGGTTAAAAACCATTTATTATTATATTATTATGATGTTAATCTAAATGTTTACAACGTACTTCCGGCTTGCGTGCTGTGATCGCGTGACTTATATTTGTGCGTCCCTAGTATGGAGATCAGCGGTGTGTGTTAACACGCTCAAAAATGGCGGTTGTCGATACCGAAAATAAATCAGATTTAAGACAACTTTTCCAAAATATATCACCATACTTTACTCCAGAGGAATCAGAACATGTTGTACTGTCATTTAAACAGAATTATGGAGGGAAATTCAACTCTCTAGACGATTGCGATCTGCTGAGGTGTTTTCATCTTCTCGAAGAGAATGGGTATGTATCTGAAAACAACATCAAACTAATCGAAGACTTCGTTGCTTTGAAATCGAGAGGAGAAGAACTCATTAAGGACGCTATGGAAAATTTTAAGGCCTCTCGTCCAGTAAAAGCTGATCCAGAGAAGAAATTGCTGGGACGGTACGATGAAATCACGAAAATCAACCGAAAACTGGCATCAAAAGATTCTGCAGCTTTAAACTTGTTTGGATCGTCTGGTTTGGGAAAGACAAGACTTGCTAAGGAAGTTTGCTCACAATGGCGTGGAATATATCATGTTTTTGATCTTAGAGAAGCAAAGGATATGAGAGCGATTTATTACAACATTCTACATTCTCTCGATCTAGCTGTTCCAGTTGGTTACATTGAACTAAAGAATGTTGTGGCAAAAGTTCAAGAGAAAATAAGAGAGTTGCAGACGAAAAGGGAGGGACATGGTGTTCTGTTTATGCTGGATAATGTGGATCGATTTACCGCAGGACAAGGAAAGGAGGGAAAGAACTTGAAAACAGCTTTTATACAATTTTTAGAAAAGCTTCTAGAAACCAAAGAAAAAGGGTCTCCCTTGAAACTTTTACTTACATCAAGGGCTCAGTTAAAAGATTCCAAAAAGGTGGAAGATTTTGAAGTCAAGTCCCTGAAAAGATCTTTTTCGGAGAAAATCCTCTTTCCTAAGGGGATGAATGACGTCCAACCCCACCAGATGGATAAATTTGTTAATACCACCAAAGGATCTCCCCTTTTTCTAGAATTACTGGATCCTATTTTGCGACAAGGGCGGAAATCTGTTGATGAACTCATCGCAAGACTTGCACTCACTCCAAAGAAATCCAAAGTGGAGGAAGATGCCTCAGAGAAGCCATTCGATTTTGAGGACGATGGAGTAGACATGGGTCAGATATCGGTAGTGAGAGAAACATTCGACACACTTCCCACTGAAAGTTTGAAGGTATCTGCAGTAGTAATCTCCTTGTTTCATGGGCCTTTCTCTGTGCCAACAGCTGCCAAAGTTCTTGGTATTGACCAGTCAGAAGCTATTGCTCAGTTAGAGGGTCTTGCAGCCAGTCGAATCCTTTTTGTAGTTGACAAGGAAGCAAAAGAAAGGAAGTATGACATCCATCCACTCTTACAGAAGTATGCTGACAGTATCAAGAGTCAGGAAAACTTTCTTGCTCTCTATCTGGAGGCAAAAGCGCGCTTTTATGAACTCTTCATGTCCAGGATGAAGGAAATTGCCAAACTCATTGAGCCAGACTATGTCAGAGCATTCCATTTATTTGAGACAGACAGAGGAAACTATGAGTTCACTGTTGACATATCTTTGCAACCAAAATATTTCAGTGTTCCAGGTGAATTCCATGAATATACTTTGATTGCTTCCCTTTTTGATGCAATGCTAAATGAGAAGAAAATAATCAAGGTGTTTCATAACTGGGCTGAGAAGTGCCAAGATGATGGAAAGACAGGTACAGTACTTTATAATTGAAGTTTTGGTCATGCAATTATCAATTCTTTTAAAAATTTTATGAACTGTGATTTGTAATTTATTCTTTATACACATATATCTATATATCTGCATCTATATATATATCATTCTACATCTGCTTATCTGTATATCAGTATATCTCCATACTGATCTCTGTATAATTCTTAAAAGGAGAATTTGTTAAAAAATCAAGAGCTTCTTTAGTTGGGGATCATTTCCTTTATTCCTGTGACCTTGGTGTTTATTCATGGATTCATGGATAAAATTGTAGGGAGATATTTAGTAGAGTCTAGTCACTCATGGGGGGGGGGGTGTAGAGGAGTGTTAAAAGAGTGTGCTTTTCAGAAAAATTTGTTTTTGGAGTTTAATGACAAAGCAATTAATTCTTTTCACAAAGGCCAGTCTTCCTGTTTATCTTTTACTACATCAATCACACCAACCCAAAGTTGACATGGAAAACTCAATTGAATAATATAGTTATGCCTGCAAACCATAAATAATAGTTCTCTTTAGTTTTCTCTATAAAGGAAATCCCACGAGCTTCAAATTCCATGAATGCTTTAAAAGACTAGCTAAAAAATTGCTCTGAATATCCTCTCACATATCAACCCTTCAACTCCTAAAAGTGATTAACATCTAATTTCTCCTTACAATGTCACTCCTGAATCAATCATTAAGGTCATGAGAATATATGAACTGATCACCAATTAAAGTAGCTCTTCATTACTGACCAAATTCTCCTTGTCAGCACCTTAGGAAATGTATAGAGAACAGTATGGAGAACATGGATTTTGATGTTAGGGTACTGGTGTAAAGGGTTAATGACTTGAAGTCCTACAATTTAGTCTTTTGGAAAATTGTCCACTTTGGGAATCCACTTGCAACTGTTATTAAATGAAACATCCGATTGTTAATTCTTCTGCTCTTACAAAATTATAAGCTCCAATTAATATTTTTCATTTTTGAGTTGCAAAACTGTGGTAATAAGATTACATAATTGACTTGTTGTGTAACATTTTTAGGTTCTCTCATGCGAGCACAGTTGAAATGCCGGGAAGTAAAGCAAGTTCTTGATGTCCATGGAACAGAGAAAGCATTTGAGGTACTGATGACAGCTTTCAGTTCACTGGAGAAAGTCAACGACAAAACTAGTGATTATTTTATGCTCACCAAAGGACTCTATCTGTATTGTGAAGGTGAGATCCTTTGGAGAAATGGAGACTTTAAGAAAGCACTTGAATGTTTGAAGTCATCCTTGGAATTCTTTAAGGCACTGCCAGAGGAGCACACTGATCTTGCGAGGTGCTACAATGCTATTGGAAACTGCTATTCGAGTCTAAAACTACTTGAGAAGGCACTTGAGTTTTACAACAAAGCATATATGACTCAAAAGAAAGTGGCAGGATCTGAGCATCACTTTGACATTCCAATTTACAAGAATCAAATTGGAACT